GATCCATGGTAACGTAGTGGGTGCAGGCTACGATGGATTATCTCGATGAGTGGTGATTTACCTCGTGAGCCTTATTTGAGGGAGGGATTGTTGGGGCAAACAAGTCCCACATCGGTTGTGGGAAGAAAATAAATCCACCATATAACCCAAGTGGGCTACTCCACCCATTACCAATTGGTTTTGGGATGGAACCTCACTTGGGCCTGGTGGTGTGGGTTGGGCCTTGGGTAATTGTTCTCAATAATTTCCTAACAACTATGAAGTGTGTTAATCGTCCACGTTTTTGTATATGTTTTTTTTAAAGTGAAAATAAAGTTGGGATGATGCTCGTAAAATCTATGTTTTGGTGTTTGCTTCACATATTCAATCTTCTTCATTTTACTTAGTCAAAATTCATTTGTTTTCGATACCCGAAAGTGTATAAACGAGTATTGATTGGTTGAGAGACGAGTTACCTCGACCCCATTGTAGGGATCACGGATCAGCCCCGTGACAAGCATTTTCTAAGACAATTTATTTCTTGATTAAAGAAAAATTAAAGTAAGATGGAAGTTAGTGAGAGGTAATATTAAGGTTAGCCAACTTAACTAACATGACATAACAACTAGTGTTTCAATTGGCCAAATATGCATCATGCTTCATTTTACCAAACAAATGATTTTAGGTTTGATAAAATAAAGAGTTGGTTATAAGTTGTAATAGAGAAGCAAACTCACCTACACCCACACCCACAAGCATCATGAAATGGGAAAATGTCTTTGATATATCCACTTTTAATTTGTTCGGATTAGCTTAAAATTAAGTTGAATAAGAATAAAATCAAATATCCAAACATGAACAAATAGCTACTCTTCATAAATTAAGCTACTATATTAAAGTCAAAATCCCATGTTGATTAAATAAGTATTAATCAAAATCAAATATAAATTATGTATTTTGACGGAAACTAAAATCGTAGCCATTGGAACTTCTAAAGCACGCAACACAAAGGCAATGAGTGAAATGGGTCCGCTGTGCATTAATTTGGGCACTGCACCACCTTATTCTTTACATTCTAACTAATATTTGAGTAAACAAAAATCATTAGGCCCCTTTGAGAAGACTTTTAAGAAGTTGAAAGATGTTTTTGAAATGATTGAAATTGACGAACGGACACCATTTTCGTATGAACCTCAGCTAAAAAATCACAACATACACATCACTGTTTTTTTTTGCAAATAATCTTAAAGGACTGGAGTCACGAACCAGGGTAATGCGAGTCAAATCTCAATCGTCCTTCACATTCTGTTGCGCACATTATATAAACCCCTCTTCTCTCTCTCTCACTCTCTGTGTTTCTCACCAAAAAGGAACCATAGAAGAAGAATTATTATTCAAGAATCGTGTGAAATTCGTTGTTGTTTAATAAGGTATTAATTGATGTTAATCATTTTTATCCTTTTTTTTTTCAGAATTTTTCGATTCACTTTTATGATTGATCAAGATTTTGAAAGAAATTCGTTAGTTGATTCTTGTTCATATGTTTGTCCAGAAATGAATAAAATAATTTCTTTATTCCATTGAATTAAATCTATTCTTGAATGACATATTTGTGTGTTTGTGCGTGCGTGGGTATAGCTTTCGTGTTTTTCCAAAAGAAAAAGGTAATTAATCATATCATTTATATATTCTTTATCCATGATTTTTTAATTCTTATCATAATTTAATTTATCTGATATTCACTGAAATTTAGTGAAATCTGATATATTTTTTGTTGCGAAGGAAACAGGCTTCTATATACTAAAAATATGCAGAGAGAAATCTTCAGCGACTACAATTTTGTCGGGTCACTCTACCCCTCAAGTTTCCCGTCAAATCAGTCGCCCTTACTCGACTACGTGACAGGCGATTCCAATTTTTCTTCCAGCATTATCAATTCTCAGCCGAATGATGATGACATGTTACTGAGTTCATGCTTGCCTCGCTCTCATCAAATTCAGCTGCAGCATCAGGACCTGATCGACCAGCACCACACTGTGTTCTCCCACCTCCAAAAGACAGCAAAGCAAGTTCAGTCCCTTCGTCAGGACAATGTCAACCTCAAAATGGCGAACATTGACTTGAACCACCGCCTGAATTTGTTGCTCAGTTCCACTTCATCATTTGGTCTGTCGGGTCTGGATCGAGGTTCAAGTTCGGGTTGGGATCCTGTTGTGGATGGGTTACGGAAGATGAGTTTTGGTGGTGAAGATGGACCAGGTGAAAAAGAGGAGTGGGAGAATGAAGTGACGGCGGCATTCTCTGAAGGTCATAGTGAGAGTCCCAAGAGTGTGGTGGATTTGGGTCGGGTTGGAGGGAGGGGGGAAGAGCGAGTTTCATTGCCAAAAAGTATTTCAGTTCGGTCCAGTGGATATCTGAAGACAGTTCGTGCTGTTGGGATGAGCAATGGAGGAGGTCAGGTTAAAGCGCAGGACCGGAGCAAGACGGTAAAAGTCTGCTAATCACTCCCCTTTTTCTTCTGATACTTACTTTACAAATCGGCATTCCTTTTACTGGTCTAGGCATAAGTTTTGTGATTTATACTATATGAGAAGGTATGCTCTATATGCTAGAGGTAAGATATTTGGCGTATTATTAACAATTATTCCTGGTTACAGGATAAATTATAAAAACTTTTTGACTAAATACCCTGTAGAACTGAATACGTGTGTAAGCTTGTGTATGGGGAATCTTTGTATGTGGAGATGTGGTGGTAGGGGGTGGACTGGGACTGGGACTGGGACAGGGATGGGGTTTTGGGGGATAGGAAGGTATCCTATGACAACTAAAGTTGCTTGGTATTGTTAATTTGCATTTCTTAGAGAAGAGCTCGAGTATTTAGTTGTTGAGATGATACTGACTTAAGGAAAAGATGGCAGATGAATAGTCCAAATTTGCATTTACATGGTTGCTGTGAGCATTGATATCTGGCTCGAAATGAAAATGTATTGAGAGTTCATAGATTTTTTTTTTTTTATAACCGTGGGTGTCCGGGCCAGCTTGCGCACACCTCGACTAATCCCACGAGACCCTGAAGTATACGGTCGAGCACTCACCTCGATGGCCCTAAGTTATTTTGTGATTGAGGATATCAACAAGCTTTGTTTTGTCATGAATTTATCATAAGAAAAAAAAAACATTTACGTATATTTTGTTATTTTTGTCTGTCTTCTTTACCCTATTTCGAATCAGCTCTTGGGAATAGAATATGAATGAAGAAAATTTGCATTCTAGCTTAAATAGAAGAGGCTAATCGAGATCCTAATATTGACAAGCCCATGGGGGCATATCCATATTAGCGGAGTGTGTGAACTTACTCGTGAACGAAATGAAAGAATCTAGAGTGAATAACGAAGAAAATATTGTTGAAAAATATTTCATTATACTGTCATGTTGAACTGAACAACAAATTTTCATTTTAGTTTTATGGTGAGGTCTAGTGTTGACAATCAGACCTCAAAATCAGCTTATCACAGGATGCTGAATACCTTTTATTCAAAGTTAAAAACTTAAAATGACTCGAGAAAATATTGTCGATGAAATGTGTATAATGAGCTTGTACATGTATAAAGAATTCTATGATCATTCAATCCAAACCCTATCTTATGTGGAATATGGATTATGATTTGTTTGTGTCGTGCAGTGTGAGTGTATACTGAGGGTGTGTTTGTCTCTCATTATTTGGAGAAAAAATAGAGTAATGAATAATATTTTTTGGAGAATACATGGTTGATATATAAAGTAACTTTATTGGTTTGTGTGTAGAATATTTTATTGGGTGAATATGTGGTGGATAATCAAACAATTTTTTGAAATAATGGTACTGAATATGTGGTAATTTCAATTATTGGTTTTGTTATAGATATATAGTTCATAAGACTATAATACGAATCATAGAGCTTCAGATTCACGTATCTGGAGCCTTACTAATGAATATTTATGTTTAAGTTCATTGATAGAATCAATTCTATGAAATTTCAACTAAACTGTTTAACAATGTTTATTTCTTAATTTTTTTTATTTTTTATTTTTTGCTTAAGAGAAAAATACTAGTAGGACTAATGACAATAATATAAGAATCAGCCAATTGATAGGGTAAAAATTACAAACATTTTATCGGGAGCAAATGCTACACCTCTAATTATTTGATATGAAATGTTTTACAAATGGGTTATTTGAGCCATTCTTTTCAAATTAATGGAAAATATCTAGATTGAAATGAAAATACGATAAAAGTATGAAACACTATTTTCTGAAGGCGAGATCTAGCGTTCAAAGCTAGCCCTCAAATCTATTCAACAGCTATGGATGTTGCCAACTTTTATAATTCATTACTCATGAAATTGTTACACTGAGAGTCTGGCTTTTAATTTCTTATATGCTGATATAACTTTTATGGTGATAATGTAGCAAAGAGTGTATGTGAATAGAGGGAAGAAAGCAGAGGAAGCACTTGAACTGGAGGTGTATAATCAGGGCATGCTCAAGACTGAGCTTTGCAACAAATGGCAACAGACAGGTGCGTGCCCGTATGGAGATCAGTGCCAGTTTGCTCATGGCATCAAGGAGCTCCGCCCAGTCCTTCGTCACCCTCGCTACAAGACCGAGGTGTGCCGCATGGTCCTCAATGGTGATCATTGCCCCTATGGTCACCGCTGCCACTTCCGCCATTCCCTCACTGACCAGGAGAAATTAATGAGGTCAATGAATAACAGGTTACTCAAGCCTCGGTAATACTTTCTGATTATCCAAGTTGTATGATAAATCATAAATTGACTATATTACAATCCTCCAAATAATGGAAAACCTTCCACACAAGGGAAGCAATTAATTTCAAAACTAGGCACTGTAAGTACAATAATTGTATCGTAAATAGCTAATCTGTACTTCGATAATTTTGCACCTCCTTTACGTTAAATATGCATTTGAGACATACATGTAAGGCCAAGACACACGATATTAAACCAAAGAACAGAAACATAAAGTACAGAAATTAAAGAATTAACACAAGAATTGTTTCGGCCTAAGCTCCGGAGGTTCGACGACCAAATCAAACGCCTACATCCCCCGTTGAGTATCCAACAAATTAGATAAAGCTTAATTGCACTATACACCCCCAAATTGGCAACGAAGGTTACAAATCGTTCAAAAAGTACAAAGAGATAAAGACAGAACACTTATCTCACAAATACATGAACAGATCTAGGACGAATCACCAAGAAACTCCACAGTGCTCCTCTAATACACAACTCAACATAGAACCTTAGTTCTCATAGATATTCACACAGAATATCACAATCAGAGATTTAAACTCTCACTATTTAAAGCCTCAAATCAGATATTTGAGCAGAGAAAGTCAGAAGAAGAAAACCCTAAGTTTTTCTCTCAAAAGGCAGAAGCAGGGAGTATCTCGAACCATCCAAAATGAATCGATTAGGGTAAGTTAAAGAGTCTTCCAGGTAAATCAGCCAACGGTCCATATCAGTCCCCGTGTCACCATCTTAGTAATGAAATGAGATAAAACGTTTTCACAGAAAACACACCTTTATTAATATAATTCTGGCAGCACACCAATTTCAACTAGGGTTTGAATCCCACAATACATATGATATTTTGTACGATAATCATGGCTGAATCAGCCCCTAAACTATTTTTGTAATGATAAAATGCAGTCTACATAATAAACTTCTGATTGTCCTTGTTCATTTACCATGTTTATTTCTTTCGTTTTCAATCCTTGTAATGATTCTGCGAAGCAGGTGAGGAGGCAGGGGAGCCAGCCTCCAGCCCATTTCATTTTGATGGGTAGAAAAAAAAAATTGTATGAAATTTTCTTCTTTTTTTTTCTTTTTTTTTTTTTTTTTGTGATGTGTACTTTTTCTTTTATGTATTTTTTTTTTTTTTTCCCCATAGTAGCATGGCTTGAAATTATTAGTCCGGTCTTGAATCTAACCCTGCTGTGAAGGCTAGATCATTTTCAAGACGCTTCATGCCATTCTGTAATGCTATATTTTATAACATGAATCGTGCTATGCGCGCAAATGTTAGAAAAATATAGTAAGATGGGTTATGATCTGCAGTCTTTTTTTCCTCTTTGGATATTCACCGAGCCCTTGTTTAACAATCATGGTTTTGGAAAAAAGAGTTTTGAATAGTAATTTTTATGAGAATGTGCGGTTAAAAAGTAAAAAAAAAAAAAATTGGATTTACTTACAAAATAATTATTATGTGAATATGTGATTGAAAATGAATATGTAGAAAAAAAAGAGTTTAAAAAGTATGATTGTCAAACAAGGGCAAAATATGACTAAGGTTCGGTATGTTGAGATCGAATTGCCTTTTAGATTAGAGTACTTTCAAACTTGAGGATCATTGCGCACCTTTATACTAACCACATTATAGTATGAGGTCAAGTTGCATAAGTTCAAGCAATGGGTTGGTTGGATCATAAAAGTGAAGGTGAGTCTATTATTCTGTTAAGAAATCAGGCATCCAAATATATATTTAATAAGAAGACAGTTTCTTCTATGAACTAAAATAGTTAACTTTTCATAACATAATTTATAAATTATTTACAACATTTATTTAGTCATTATACTAGTAGGGGTTCCAATGAGTGTTGCTTAGGAGGTCACTTGGGCTTTGGGGATTAGTCGTGTGAGTGTTGAGAAGTACAAGTTTAATATTCGTTTTCACAAAATATATATATTAAAAACATGATGCACACCATGCTAGCAGTAAACATGATTACATTTTAGGGTTATTATGGATAAAATATATAATAAAGATGATATAAAAAAAAAAAAAAAAAAAACAGGAAATTTGGTCCACTGATCTAAAAAAATAAGAAATTAAATTAATATACAATGTTTTTCATTTGATACAATGTTTTACATTACGCTTATCCATTTTTAGCGATTTAAAATTTGTTATCTTGCAATTATGGACAAAGTCAAAATGTCGAAAATTATCTTGCATGAACTATTGAACGTAAAATATTGAATATTAATTTTTCTTTTCGTTTCTTTCATTATCTATATAAGTGTAAAAGAATTATAAAGTTTAAGCAGTGATTGTCAAGTCAATTTCTTGCGATCGTTTTTAACTTGTTATTATGAAAGATATATTTTAAAGTTTGTCTTGAATACTTAGAAAAGATACAAAAAATCTCACCCGATGAATGAAGGAACAAAGCCCCTAAATAAATCAAAAGAGATAACGTCAAAATATAAATTAAAAAAACAACTATTTTATGTCATTCAAAATAATGACATGTTATGTTTCAATTTTATAACAAAAAGTGACGTATACATACACTTTGAACTCCACAAATTTATTGTCTAATTTAGCTTATGTGAAAAGATAATGATACACCCGTTATTTTATTGGTGAGATTGCAAATCAATGACAACAATGCAATGTTTTCTGGCCATTTTCCTTCTACACCATGCTAAGCCAAAACAAGGTAGAATGCAAGGGGCAATGCAAAATACAAGTTGTAGTGGTTGTCGAAAAATTCAAAATTCAAGTAAAGATTTGCTAACAATTAGGGACGAAGTCACTGCCTTAACTTTGAAAAGAAAACAATGCA